GTACCAAAATCTTATTGGCATTTTGCTGTTTTGACTTCTACCTTTCTGTGCAATCGTACGCCGAGTCGTGTTCTTTAGCATAAGGCTCCTTTACAGGTCTTATTTCCTGAGCGGACACTTTTTTCGGTCCCCCTCGTATTTTTGGATGCACATGTTTTGTTCAGGATTGGTCTCCTACTCGTCATAAACTTGATGCTAAGCGTTTCGTTGTATCTTTGTGGGCTATTGTCATCAATCTAAGGGATATCGGTGTTATGATCCTATCAGGTGCCGTATGTATCACAGTCTAGATGTTACCTTTCTTGAGTATATTTCTTATTTTCCTCCCAGTCCTGTGTCTGCCCCTCTAGTTGATGATACTCCCTTTGATTTTCCATTACCATAGGAGTCAGAGTCATTGGTCATTATCCCTACAGGGTCATCTGTTTCTCCTCCTTTAAAACCACTCATCTCTGTTAGTACAGAGTTACCAGTCTCTCTTCCTTTGCAGGTGTATGTTCGTCGCCCTCGCTCTCATCACCCTACTGATGTCCCCTCTACCTCAGGCGATGCAGGTAATACTTCTCAGTTTGTTGAGCATATTGATGCACCTGTTGTTAGTACTGATGAGATTACAGGTGCTGAGCCAGTTACTTTACCTGATAAGATATTATCAGTAGAGGATGGTGCTTTAGGGCGTCGTTATCCGCGGCGTGATCGCTGTCCAGTTGATCGTTATGGTTGGACCGCCAGGATTTTATATCCGATCTCTGCTTATGTTTCTTATGGTAATCTGTCTCCCACATTTCGAGCTTATACTATGGCCTTATCAGATACGCTGGTTCCTCGCTCTATTTCGGAAGCTATGCGGGAGCCCCAGTGGGTTCTTGCCATGCAGACAGAGATGGACGCTCTTCAGCGTAATCATACATGGGATCTTGTCTCCTTACCTTCAGGGGTGAAGCCTGTTAGTTGTTACTGAGTTTACACCCTGAAGTTTCTTGCGAATGGTACTATTGATCGTCACAAAGCTAGACTTGTGGGGAAGGGCTTTACTCAGGTACCAGGTCGTAATTTTGGTGCTACATTTGACCCTGTGACAAAATTGACTGCTGTTCAATTGATTATTTCTCTGGTTGCGGAGTACCCTTGGCCTCTTCATCAATTAGATGTAAAGAATGCGTTTTTTCACGGTGATTTGGACGAGATTATCTATATGGATGCACCACCGGGCTTTCGTGGTGAGGGGGAGTATGGTGGAAAGGTATGTCGACTGCGTAAGTCTCTTTATGGACTAAAACAGTCGCCACGAGCCTGGTTCTCTCACTTTAGTGATGTAGTCGTACGATTGGGGTTCACCAGGTGTCACTCTGATCATACCTGCTTTATTCGACGGAATACTTCTGAATAGTGTGTCATCCTTATGGTATATGTTGATGATATTATTATTACTGGTGATGATATTTTTGGGACTGCGCAGGTCAAGATAGACCTTGGGAAGGCCTTCGATGTGAAGGACCTTGGATTTCTGCGATACTTTCTTGAGATTGAGGTTGCCCGTAGCGGCAGGTGTGTTGTTCTTTCTCAGAGAAAGTATGTTTTGGATATTCTTTCAGACATTGGAATGTTGGAGTGCAAACCGGCATCATCACCCATGATTCCAAACCTGAAGGTTACTGCTGAAGGTGAAGAGTTGAAAGATCCGACAGTTTATCAAAGATTGGTAGGTAGACTTATCTACTTAGCCAATACTAGGACAAATATTTCATTCGCAATCAGCCGAGTTAGTCAGTTCATGCACAGGCCATGTCAGCCTCATCTTGATGCAGTTTATCGTATTCTTCGGTACCTCAAGTCTTGTCCTGGACTTGGATTGTTTTATACATCAGGATCTCGGACCGGTTCTCTAGTCTGTTTTTCAGATTCAGATTATGGGGGAACATGTGAGGGTCGATCTACTACGGGCTTCTGTGCTTTTCGAGGGACTCATCTTATCTCTTGGAAGAGCAAGAANGATTGTTTTATACATCAGGATCTCGGACCGGTTCTCTAGTCTGTTATTCAGATTCAGATTATGGGGGAACATGTGAGGGTCGATCTACTACGGGCTTCTGTGCTTTTCGAGGGACTCATCTTATCTCTTGGAAGAGCAAGAAGCAGGTAGTTGTCTCCCGCTCGTCAGCAGAGGCAGAGTATCGGGCACTGACACTTGGCACGTGTGAGATTATCTGGCTACGATCGATTCTTGGCGAGTTGGGTTTTTCAGTGACCTCTCCATCCACATTATATTGTGATAATTGATCTGCTATTCAGCTCGCATTTGACTCTGTACTACATGAGAGGATGAAACATATAGAGATCGATGTTCACTTTCTTCGGGAGAAGGTTAGCAATGGTATTGTCACTCCATCGTTTGTGGGGACCAGCGATCAGGTTACGGATGTTTTTACCAAACCTGTCACTCTGTCTATTCTTCGGGACTCTGTTGTCAAGCTTTACTTAGTTGACATTTTTGCGCCTAGCTTGAGGGGGATTGTTGGAGATATAACAGCAACCTAGTTTATTAGAGTTTTATTAAGTTTTCCTTTTTTACCTATTTGTCCTTATTGTAACTCTCATTGACTATATATACAGAGGCTCTACACTTAGTTTGTATCCCTTTTTTACTCACGATTATTTCAAGTCCATCTTTTTTATTCCATCTAGTTCTTCACACTTGAAAAAATCTGATCTCATTTACATTGACCCATTTCTAGTTGATATTCCCTCTGACACTTATGTAAAGTGACATGATTGTGTCTGATGTGCCTTCCTCTTTTGATTTGGATGTTAGCCGTCCACCTATTATACATACCTATGCTCACAAGACTCCAATTGTCCCTTCTACAGATGCGGTGACTCCCTCCCAGTCTACTGCCACTCAATCAAGTTCTAATAATATGGATCATGCTCATCTTTATCTTCAGCTCTCTCAAAAATGTCTATCGAAAATGTCCAGATAGGTTTGGTTTCTCCAACTCTTATTATTCTTATGATTTTTGTTCTTTTATCATCACTATTCACTCTCTATCTGAGTTCGTCTCCTATAAGGAGGCTATTCTTGATTCTCTTTGGCAATAGATCATGGATGAGGATTTAACTGCCTTACATAAGACCTGATCTAGAGAATTAGTGTATTTACCCCCTGATAAGCGCACCATTAATTGTAAGTGGATTTATAATATCAAAACCAAATCTGATAGTTCTGTGGAACGGTATAAAGCCGGATTAGTAGCTAAGAGATTTGCTCAGGAATATGGGTTAGACTATGATAAGACTTTTGCTCTTGTTGCGATGACTACTGTGATTGCGGTGACTACTATTTGTCAATGAAGCTTATCTTAGATGATGTAAAAAATATATTTCTCCACAGAGATTAATCTGAAGACATTTTTATGACTTCTCCTGGATTGTCTCATAGTCCCGATCAAGTATAAAGACTTCATAAGGTTTTATATGGTCTTTAAACAGGCTCCTAGAGCATGGTTTACCAAATTCTCTTTAGTCATCTATGACTTAGGTTTTCATGTCAGTGATCACGATGCTACTCTCTTTCTACGATCCACTTCCTCAATCTCTATTATTCTCTTATTCTATGTTAATGATATAATGTTGGAATAAGGCTATTGAAAAATCAGTTATAAAATTATTTTGAGATGAAAGATATGGGTCAACTTCGGTATTTATTAGAGATTGAAGTTCCTTGCCCTCCCAAAGGTTATCTTCCTCTCAGTCCAAATATACATCAGATGTTATTTAACGAGCTCACTTATCAAATAATCGGACAGTTGAAACACCTTTAAAGCTCAATATTTGTTATTTTGCCTCTGATAGTACCTTCTTACCTGATCCTACACTATATCGCACTATTGTTGAGAGCCTGGTATATTTTACAGTTACTCACCCAAATATTTCTTATGTTGTCCATATAGTTGGTCAATTTGTTGCCTCACCTATTATAGTTCACTAGGCAGCTATTCTCTGCATTCTTCAATACGTTCGAGGTAATCTGCACCAAACTCTACTATTTTCTTCATCCTCCTCTATAGAACTTAGGGCTTCTTTAGATGCAGACTAGGTTGGTGACTCTATAGATCATATATCCACTATTGGTTTTTGTCTTTTTCTTAGTGATTCTCTTATTTCTTGGAAAAACAAAAAACAAATTGTAGTTACTCGTTCATTTATTGAATCCGAATATCGTGCTATGTCATCTACCACATCTGAGATAGTTTGGTTACAATGGCTACTTGTTGATTTTGGCATTTCACTATCTACTTATGCCCCTATGTATTGTGACAACACCGATAATTCGGCCATGAACATACAAAGCATATTGAGATTGATTGTCACTCTGTGCGCCATCATCTTACCCTTTCTTCCTTCAACTATGCAGTTAGCTAATTTCTTAATGAAATCTCACACCATTACATGGTTTCGTTTTCTTATAGGTAAGCTCATGATATTTTCTACCCCATCATGAGTTTGAGGGGTGTGTTAGAGTATCATAGTATATTCAGAATAAGGGTAGTTTAGTGATTTACTTTATTCTATTTTGTCCTACTATATAAGAATCTCTATTGTGTAAGTGTAGTTTTGGTTGAGCTGTAATAGACTTATTAGCACGAATAATATTCTCACCTTCTTCTATTTCTTTCCTCTCTTCTAAATTATGTAACCAAAGTTTTCACTTTTATGTCAATCAATCAGATTTGTAACTTTACATTTCTGGTAAGTTTCGTATAATAAGGGATTTTCTTCTATTTTAGGAGTATTTAGACTTTTGGCCATTCCTATATATACTCTTCATATGTACTATGAAATATCATATTTTAGAGTTTTCACTTATTTCTCTGTGGATTCAGAGTGTCATGTGTGTGTGTTCAATACACGAAGACAGAGTGATTATTTTGTATCTTAGTTACCGCTGAATCACCATACAATAACAACAGAAAACGGAAAAATTCCATGTATCACTTGATTCAAAATAGGGCCATGGTCGCAGTAATAATATCAATATCATCAGGAGTCTTGCCAAACTTTGGACATAAAGATGTTAGGTAAGAGAATTAAACCCAAGACAAAAAAGCCATAATAGTTTTTTTTTTTGGCTGACAATAGAGGATCCAAACTAGTTGGATGAAGGAGAAAAAACTTACAACAATGAGTTTCCCAGCATTTTCTGGCCTCTTTGCTATCTTTATTGCCGCAGCAGCAGCCGCCCCAGAAGAAATGCCCACCTGCAAAAGCACCCTCAAAACACTGAAAATTTGAAAAACATCAAACACATGCATTACAACAGTTTGAAGAATATGCATAACCAGCAACCACGAAATCAAGTGGTCACCAAGAGAGAAGAGTGTTAAAAATGACTATGAAAAGAGCCTTTTAACTCATTGGGAACGTACCAGCAATCCTTCTTTCAATGCCAGAAGCTTAGCAATTTGAATAGCTTCTTCACTAGAAATCTGAAAATCTATGATAACATCAGAAGTTGATCACAGGAAATCTGTGGGGCTAGTCAGCAGAATTCAGGTTTTGGATTTGGTGATAGAGGAGACAAAAGTGATTAAGCATCGACATAAACCTCTTAATGAATCAGATTTCCTGAATCTGATCCAAAACTACGCATACATGATCATTTAGCATACCAAATTTTATGGAATTGTTAACTAGACAAGGACCTTGGGTTTGAGTCATCCAAAATAAAGTTAACCTGTATAAAAAATATAATATATATACAACTGATAAAACACATCTCAACCATATAAACCAACTTTGGGTGGACCTAAATTAATCGGGGATACAAGCTTTCTTTACACGTAACAACAATCGTATAATATTAGCATGACACAATATAAAATCTAATTGATGCAGTTGATAATAATACCGCCTATTACATTGCAAGATCAAATGATGGAAATTTTGTTCCTTTTTTTAACCTTGTCTCAGGTTGACAGCAGGTGATCTTCTCAGTTCCTTTTTTTAACCTTGTCTCAGGTTGACAGCAGTTGATCTTCTCAGTATGGATCCTATATTATATCATACAAGAANACTTTTATGTCAATCAATCAGATTTGTAACTTTACATTTCTGGTAAGTTTCGTATAATAAGGGATTTTCTTCTATTTTAGGAGTATTTAGACTTTTGGCCATTCCTATATATACTCTTCATATGTACTATGAAATATCATATTTTAGAGTTTTCACTTATTTCTCTGTGGATTCAGAGTGTCATGTGTGTGTGTTCAATACACGAAGACAGAGTGATTATTTTGTATCTTAGTTACCGCTGAATCACCATACAATAACAACAGAAAACGGAAAAATTCCATGTATCACTTGATTCAAAATAGGGCCATGGTCGCAGTAATAATATCAATATCATCAGGAGTCTTGCCAAACTTTGGACATAAAGATGTTAGGTAAGAGAATTAAACCCAAGACAAAAAAGCCATAATAGTTTTTTTTTTTGGCTGACAATAGAGGATCCAAACTAGTTGGATGAAGGAGAAAAAACTTACAACAATGAGTTTCCCAGCATTTTCTGGCCTCTTTGCTATCTTTATTGCCGCAGCAGCAGCCGCCCCAGAAGAAATGCCCACCTGCAAAAGCACCCTCAAAACACTGAAAATTTGAAAAACATCAAACACATGCATTACAACAGTTTGAAGAATATGCATAACCAGCAACCACGAAATCAAGTGGTCACCAAGAGAGAAGAGTGTTAAAAATGACTATGAAAAGAGCCTTTTAACTCATTGGGAACGTACCAGCAATCCTTCTTTCAATGCCAGAAGCTTAGCAATTTGAATAGCTTCTTCACTAGAAATCTGAAAATCTATGATAACATCAGAAGTTGATCACAGGAAATCTGTGGGGCTAGTCAGCAGAATTCAGGTTTTGGATTTGGTGATAGAGGAGACAAAAGTGATTAAGCATCGACATAAACCTCTTAATGAATCAGATTTCCTGAATCTGATCCAAAACTACGCATACATGATCATTTAGCATACCAAATTTTATGGAATTGTTAACTAGACAAGGACCTTGGGTTTGAGTCATCCAAAATAAAGTTAACCTGTATAAAAAATATAATATATATACAACTGATAAAACACATCTCAACCATATAAACCAACTTTGGGTGGACCTAAATTAATCGGGGATACAAGCTTTCTTTACACGTAACAACAATCGTATAATATTAGCATGACACAATATAAAATCTAATTGATGCAGTTGATAATAATACCGCCTATTACATTGCAAGATCAAATGATGGAAATTTTGTTCCTTTTTTTAACCTTGTCTCAGGTTGACAGCAGGTGATCTTCTCAGTTCCTTTTTTTAACCTTGTCTCAGGTTGACAGCAGTTGATCTTCTCAGTATGGATCCTATATTATATCATACAAGAAAAATCATTTCTATTATACCCAGCTTCAATTGGTTTTTCTAATTCTATTTAAGTGACATAAATATCCACCTGTTCTGAATTCATCCACAAACGTTAGCGATGTATGAATACAACTAGAGTATCCACTCATCCGTGCATTTGATACCATAACAACAAAATGGGCAAAAAATGTTGTTGCTCAAATGCAGAAAATATCTTCATGCAGTTATCCATGGGTCTGACACTGTTTAATTCAATATGTACTGGGACTTCAAAAAAAAAGTAATATCACCTGTGTTATCATAAAAGAGAACAAGAAGATAAACTTTAATGATTCAACAATTAGGTTGTTGAACTATCGCTTTAACAAGGCAACTAGCCAGTAAACCATAGCGAACTCAAACGGATAGAACAATCTATTGGTAATCAGAACCGAGAAATCTGAACTTCATCAGGATAGGTGACAAGGAAAACATACGTGAATCCACAACCAGATGGATAGCTATTTACTGTGAGAAACATATGCAGATGACAGCAAAGACACATTTTCCTCTACTATTGTCCATCAATATTTGAAAGCTGAACCCTCCTTGAAAGCTTGCATCTTCAGAATTATCCTCTACTACTCGGAAAAATATCTCCGAAATGTCAAGGGAATCATTGCAAAGGTCTGTTCCACGGAGAAGTTAAGGAAAGCAAATTTTCCAATTGAACAAATCTATATAATAAAATACATAGGAAGTTGAATTTTATCTCCTACACATTTTTCCCCCTAAAACTATCACATCACTCATTTCTATTACATGTTCAATCATTTAATATTTGTAGTTTAACATAATTTTATTTTAAACATTATCCATATATAATAGTATATACATGTTAAAAAATTTATTGAATTACGTATTTTGAGAAAATTTTGTCAATATTTTTAAGAAAATAATGAGTAAAAATAAATTTTGAATGAAGTAATCAAAGAAATGAAGAAAAAAAATTATTTAATATAGTGAAATCAATATTTGGAGGACTCGAATTTTATGTTCTATTATACTTTCAGGCACGGGTTATAACTAGTTTCTAAATATTTAGAAAAGAGTTCACCAATATGTTAAATCTTTTTGGGTAAAACTCTTCAACTATATTTCCTCCCTTATAACCTCACTGTCTTGTTCCATTTTAGTCATGATTCAATGTCGCGATATCGGTCATCAATTCATAAGGCTCAGAGACATATCGGTGGTGCAGTATCGGGCGATATTACCTAAAAGAAAAGGTTGAACAAAACAAGTGATTCAACATTGCAGAACCGTATTGACCGATTCAGTGACAACAACTTGACAACTCAACATTGATTCAAAGATAACTTGGATGATGACACAACTCGGCACTTTCTGAGTCAATACCATTATACATTATGTATAAACTCCAAGTCTCGCACAGCTCGACTGATTTGTATCGGTCAATACTTTGTACCATGGTTTTAGTACACTTTAGCAATGATTCCCCACATCATGTTCCTAGACATATTCATTAGATTTTTCATGAGTTTACATTGGAAGGTAGTGTGGAGCCCAATAGTATCGAAAACATAGAGCTAAGCAGTGTTAGATGCTCTTCTTTTAGCTATGGGTATCTGGTATGTGAAGTTTAGAAGATGCAAAGCAAAGAATGAAAGAAAATAATGAGGGAGGTAGAAAGGAGTGTTTGTACTTTGAAATACCCTACCTCTCACCCTCAACTTATGTTTATAGTTACATAATGAGAACATAAAAGACTAGTATACCCTTAGAGTGGTATAATTATTACAATCATAAAATGACAATATAAAACTAATACTTTCAACACTCCCCCTCAAGCTAAAAAATATATATATATATAATTCAAGTTTAGAACAAATGACTCGAAAACAAGTACGACTTAATACCAAAGGAGAGAATGAACACATGAAGTTTGATAAATAATGTCAGGTTTACAAAGATAAGTAGAAATGGATTAAAATCATATTCACGAGCATTATCAGAACGTAAAATTTAAATACGACAACTATACTGAGTTTTGAGTTCCTTATAAAACTTCTCAAATATAGAAAATAATTCAAAATAAGATTTCATAAAAAATTACCAAGTCACATGAAATTAATCATCCACAAATGTCACAAAATAAGAAAATTTATTGGATGAAATATTTTTTATTGGACCCTATATATCAGAATGAACTAACTCAAATGGACTAGACATAAGATTATTGACTCTAGACTGAAAAGATACACGGATGCTTACTAAGTTGACAAACTTCACAAGATGTAGATAACACAAAGCTAAGACTAAGAACTTGGTGCGCTTCATGTTCTGAAGAGATACATGACCAAGACGATAATGCCACTGAAATGGAGATGATAAAATCTAAAATGCAAGGAGATGGATCAAGGTCAAAGTAGTAGAGAACACCAACTCCATGTCCCATACCAATCTTCCTCTTCATCTGTTGATCCTAAAATATACAATAAGCTGGATAAAAGATTACTGAACAGTTAAGTGAACGAGTAATCTTGCTAATAAAAAGTAAACTGAAAGAGAATTGAAGAAAATAAAATAGATGATAAGGACATATCGGGACTCAATTGAGTAGTCCTCAAATTTGAAACCTGCAAGGAAATACCATTAGCAAGAGTGACACTATAAGGGGGAAGAACATAATGATAAGTAAAGAATACACTAGATGAACAAGTCATGTGATTAGAGACGCCAGAATCTATGATTCAAGGACTATGAGTGGAAGACAATAAAAAAGTAGAAGTAGTATCTGACTGGACAAAAGTAACAGTAGAGGAAGATGGTACTACTTAGGTAATAGTAACTAACTCAGATTCCGGAGGGCTAAACATGATGATGCAGAGAATGTGGGGATATCCTCCAAATAAGAGATCTGATTAGCAACACCAGACGGCTTCCCATGTAAATCCCAACAATAATCCACAGTATGGTTAGGGCAACCATAACGAATACATAAACAAGTACCACTACGACCTTTACTACGCCCCCTTAAGAATCACGACCACCATGACTATTGCGATTGCCACAACCACCCCGAGTACCACCAACTATTACCATTAAAGAAAACTAATACTGAGCGATCAATAGAAGAACCATGATTAATGTCTGAAGTAGAATTTTCATTTGACAAGGTAGTGCACTATAAGCGAGAAAACATATCTGGTAGGGAAAGAAGAGCATGACTGGCTAAAATTTGTGAATACTAATGGCTGCTAATTGCGAGCCATGTGTTCCAATATTAATTAGGCAGAGGTGATGTTTTCCTAAACGCAGCCCGAATACTGCCCCTGATGAGGAGTGCGATAGCCGAGGCATAAAAGGGCTCTCAAGGTTAATGATTGTAACCAGTCATCGCGGGACCATAACCTTGAGAAGGCCATGTAAGCGATGCCCCCAATGCGCTCCTACCTGGGATCCTCCCTTCCTTCTCTGAACCCCATCCTTGAGACCTTTGGCAAGGTGTTAGATAGAGAAAATCCACATAATTTCGATCCTTTAGCCACCAATTCACATGTCCCATTATTTTATATGATGATCCCGAACTAATAATCCTAGTTACCTTAGGAGTCCTTTTGGATCCTAGTCAAGCACATCCAAATGGACACTGAGTCATACACTAAGAAGCCCGCTCGAGTAGACTAAACCTTCCAGATCGTACCCCAAGTCAAGATCGACAATCATGCTCGTTCGTCCCCATTGCTCAATTCTCCCTTGAAAAGGGTCATAATGCCCTATCCCTAGGTAGGGACCCTCCAATTAATCCACCGGGCTAGTCGAGCAATAGTGTCCAGTAAGTTGAGGATATCAATTCTATTGGCTATACAATCCCAGTCTTGTGTCTTGTTTCAGTAACAGGGAAAACAAGTCACGATATGGTTGCCCCTAAACTTCCGCGGTGCCACTCTTGTCTGTCCCTAGTCAAGGGTCAATTTTGCCACTCTTAATGTCAGGAGGACATGTCCCGCCCTTCTGCGACACTGGGCATTGTCGTGGCGTTGGCCGCTTGCGGCGCCACTAGGTGCCTATGGAGATGCTGGAGTGCTGTCGCAATGCTAAAATGTTGTTGTGCACTATTATCCATATCAATCCTGCTAGACCCTGTTAGGCCCCATTGCCATGTAGGTTGTCAACTCTTGCCATTTGTCTCCCGTGTCCTAATTTTATGGGGTACTACAAAAGTCATTGTATTTTTAATACTAAACTTGTTAAAAATAATACCACATACCACATGGTATTCATTAATACCTAATATTGTATGTTAAATGACAATAATGAACCGGGTCGGGATTAATAAGAAATTAATACCGGATCCCCATAACCTAGTCCAAACTCAGTATTACATCATCATCGGATTAATTAATCCAATTACATCTCTAAATACCTAAACCAAACATGCCCTTAGAGTGGTATACTTATTACAATCATAAAATGATGACATTATAAAGGTAATACTTTCAATATAGCATAATGTATTTCTTAAGACTAAAATTGCTATTCTGAGATAGTTGTCGTTTTTCAAACATAACAAATCCTAGATCTTCCAAGAAAAAGAAGAATATTGAATTGAAGACCTTTTAATAGCCAAATTGAGTAGAACAACAATTTGGTGAAAATAGCAAGAGCACTTTGTTTGATGTGTGAAGATATGTGGGACTTAGGCACAACCTATTAAGTTATTCCATACTTGACCTGACAATACCTAAGCAGCTCTGTGACAAGTCAATTAATGCACAAGTATTGGTCCTCTAAGGGCAAGCTTTTAAGGTCATCAGGCTTCTGTCCTCTAGACATGACCATCTGAGGCTAGAATGGTAGGTTCCATAGTTAGCAATTTGTTAAGAGATCTACATCTGCATGCTTTACATTTACAGGAGGTAACAAGTTCACTTGAGACAGTAATAAAGGTGCCAGGTCCAACTTCCAAACAGCCTTGCATGGATGTATGGAGCATATGAACTGCCTATGACTAAATATGTGACAAATGAGGTGGAGTTCTGCTCAAATGTTCTGATGAGGTTTTGTTGTAACCAAAAACCTACAGTCATTTATAACATCTGTTGCCCTTGTTAAGTTCACATAACTACCAGCCCAAACTATGGGCCATTGCCCAGTGCCCCAAATTGAAAGAAAATTTGGGGCCCTAAAATAAAATTTTATACAATAGTATATAATCTAAATAGGGTATATAATTTAAATACTTAATACATTTTAACCATTGAATTAGCAGGGAGTGCTACCTTTAAACAAAATAAGTTATTTATCTAATGTATTGGGTCCTCAAATCAAGGACAGGCAACATTATTTTAAAATTTTTAGAACCTTTTTCAAAAAAATTTAGGGTTCTAGAGTTCAACCTAATTTTTTTATCTCATCCGATGTTTATATTATATACATTATCACTTTGTAGTTTATCAATTGTCTATCTTATAATTGATACAGATAATAATTTTACATTTCTATAAGTTAAATTTGATGCCATTTTTTGATTAATTTGTTTATAATGCACAAAATGACTATAAAATAGGCTGAGTAACTCAACGGTCTCAGGTTCAATTTCTTCCTACATCTCCTAAGGGCTAGTCACCCTTATCCCTTTAGAGACATGCTCTAACCTAGCTCAAGTCACGGTAGTCAACCGCTGAGCTCGAGGGAGAAGTCGATGTAAGCTTAGACACCCTATGACAAAAAATAAAATAAAATGAGTAAAAGTAGTGCACTATCTAAAATTAATTAATGATAGTTGATCTTTTCTAAAATTTTCTTATTTAAACATAGCATGGTTTCTCTACAATATCTAATAATGTCTCATTTATTTTAGGACCACTCAACTTATATAAATTTTTATTTTTATATTTATTCAGAGAAAAATTATTTTATTAGTTAAACTAATTTTTAATTATGTTTTTCTTTATCTTATACAAATTGCATATATCATTGCACTAGATCTCTGGATTTGACTTCAATTAACGCAATTTTCATTTACAAAATTTAAATTTTAAATTTTAATTAGTATGTTGCATCTCAAAAGGCAAAAATAAATGATTTTAAATAACATATTTTAATATTTTGATAACTATTTAATACTAATATTATTATTGAATAAATATTAATAGGGCCTCACATAACATTTTCGCATAAGGCCTCAACTTGGGCTGAGCCGCCCCTGGTTCACAGTGATGAATGGAAAGCTAAATTTGGGTCTTATTTATACTCCAACTATTAGAACATAGGGGAAAATTAGCTGATAACTTTGTGGGTAAGTATTCATAAGGAAACCATCCAGAAATTCTACAGGAATGCCTACTAAGTATTTTTCACAAAATATAAGGAAATTTGGTACTCTTAGCTTTATAAAAAAAACAAAGTAATCTTAGCTTTATAGTATGTGTAATAGCTCTATTTCTCGTCTATCTCTGCTTTTCTCTTTTTAAATTTTATCACATGGAACCATGAGATCTACATGGAAAGCTGACCACCAAATGTTTGATTCCTTAATGACTTGAGAGTGAGTGAAATATGTTGTGGCTATCATGCAAGAGCTTTCTCCTTAACACAGTTATATGTGATGTATTCTCAAATCCATATTGAACTCCTCATTTTAAAAAGCAAAACCGCAACTCAGCCAGAAGTATCACCGGTGAACTTAAACTAAATACCCAAAAGAAAATAAAAAAAGACTTAGAGATGACTTACTTCAACAACTTCATCAAGAATGTTGACGTCCAAAACTCCAGGAATGAAACCAGCACCAATTCCTTGGATCTTATGAGGGCCTTTTACATGAAGTCATGCAAATTATTTTGTAAGGAGGTAGTCAGTGTATGAAGATAATGTCCCCTCAGAATGGTTGAATAGAGTTATTTAAGGAACCTCAACTGCTAAAAGTGCAAAAACATCATGCTCACCAACAATTAATGAAGGGCGAAAAGAAAAGCATAAATAAACAAATTGTTGACGAAGTACCACTTCCCGAGTGCTTGAAGTATCCATCTCCAACCCAACTTGTCTATCTAGAATATGTAGCGATAGGCATCCAATACAAATGAGGGCAAGTGCAAATTTTTAGTTCACAAAAAATTCTCAGCCAAACTTTCCCAATCTAATTCTTCCATTTGTGGTGTTAAACCAACCAACTCAAACTAACTGGCAATGAATGGAGAGGCCCACAAGACTCATATATTAGTTTGGGAGTTCCGATTATACCGATGTGGGATACCTTTTAACACTCCCTGGCATGTGTAACCACACGTGGAATGGTAGACAGAAGAACCTATACTAGATAATCAGCGGAGTAACAAGGTGCACTTAGCATAGATGTAGGAAGAACCAAAACCAAATCACTGAAATTGAATCAAAGAGTCTTGCCTAAAGGCTCCCGAAGGCCCATGCTGATGCCATGAAGAAAAATAAAACAAGAGTTTTTTTCATTGAATAGCAGGCCAATACAAAATGCCACTTATGGGTCTAGATAGTTAAACTAATGACATAAAAGGAGACAGATAATCAATTGCATAATTCAGGAAAATAATCATTTTCACATCTTCCTATTTTCCACATGATCATTCATTTGATTTCTCTAATCACACTTTTACCCACTCTAATTCATATAACCCGATACTCCCCCATCAAACTCATGGAGATTGTAAAGAATATATCTATGAGTGTGCCTTGAGACGGATGCTTCATTCATGGGTCATTTTTGAGTCTGCTGCAATTATGGATTGGATTTGGAACATAATAAATGAAAATGACTATATTTGGGCAGAAAGCACTCACTGTGAGTTGATTACATTTTTTAATATTGCCACAGTCATGTATTGAAATTAGAGCAGCAAAAATGAGAATGGGCTCTTTTGGGCAGAAGGGTCTCTGATTCATTGTTTCTTTGGGCTTTAAACTTGCTGCATTTGGCAAAATGCTTGGGCTTAATCTCGAAGTCCTCAATCACATCTTCTAAATTGTTTTTCCAACTAAACTACAAGTGATACAACAAAGAATCAGCTAGCAAAAATTTGAAAACAAGATCAACTCAATTCATGTTACATAATCATCATGGGTTTGAAGAGAGAATTGTGTTCAAAGAAAAAATGTTACTATCAAAGAAATATTGATAAGAAAAAATCTAGATTCATCTATTAGAAGACAAACATATTAGTTAGATGGCAAAATGCCACCTGGTGGAAGAGGGGAAGCAATGATAAACCAATATTACCAAAATCGCGGGTCGCTTTGGTACGTAATACTGGTACGTGTACGCAGTACGACACTTTCTTAGGTACGCGATATGATGGGGATAGACTTAACTAATATGATATTTTGGATCACAAGTCGTTTTCGAACTCTTATCTAAATAGTTCATTACTATATAACATTATATATCATATAACATCCATAAACATTTAGTCAATTACCATTTATCTTACATTTGTGCTCAATTTTCTATTATCTAAAACAATATATAATTATAAATATATATACACGTAGTCAATTAATATGTATTTTATATTGTGCTACATGTTCCAATGTGAATTGATTTAAGGTTAAGATAATTTGGGGTCGCATATTTTGGTAATCTGGATTGTGAACTCATCCCATTTAAGATCGATGTACCCAAATCGTTGATTGTCAAAGGTTTAATGAATTCCGATAACTATGTGATGAACCAAATCCAAGTATGGACCAACGGGCTACGATTCCATGTTAAAGAATTCAACCCAAAATCAATTGACAATGAATGAGAGCCGCACCAAGCTCATATACTAGTTTGGGAGGATCTATTATCACGATGTGAGACAAGAGCTAAGAAGGGGCACATGGGAAGTGTATTAGCTTACCAATGCATCAATACTCCTGCATCAACGTTTTAGAAATTGAAAAATATGAAACCTAGATACCAGCCCGTACCCCAGAGCTCAAAAACATACCAGACTCTATGAAACTAGCAGCCTGTCAATTTCAATAGAGGACCCTACTACCCCTCAAATTCAGCTATGCATCAGCACACACTAATTTGATGATTATGTATTCCAAGTTATAAGGTTATCTTAATTCTTAAGTAACTACCTTAAGGAGCCACTATGTGTAGACACAGAACATCTCAATAACTCAGCAAAATCATGCCTGGGGTCACTCAAAATGTTAAGCACAGGTGGTACAAAAAAATCTAGTCTGCAGCTTGCTCCGACTGTTGAACATTGTGAAAAAATTAACCTTTAACAAAGTAACTGGTCATGGTAAAAACTAAAAACTTGACATATCTTATAATAAAATATTCTGATCGACGCATCTGGGGCTAATGAATATCCCAGCAAATGCATGCAAAATTTTGTCACCACTATTATCAACCGGTGTGTCATGCTGACAATGCATATATAACATAAACACAATTTGGTCATTTTATTTAGACATATAAAGCCCTTAATTTCCTTTGTTATACTTTGTTGTATCATTTAGCTGTAATCTTCAACAATGTGAGGGGCTGCCAAGGATGGATTATGAAGCTACCAAACCCACCCCCCAAGAAAAACAAAAACAAAAAACCCTTACATTCTGAAAAAGTCATTAGATGAAAATTGCCAAGTGACCCTTCCACCCCCCCCAAAAAAAAGAAGATACTTGTGAAAAATACTGAACCAAAAGACTTGACATGTGCTAAGTACAAAGGTACACTTTTGCACAACTACAAAATTATATAAAACCACCCACGAAGACAAGTTAAATAAGGGTTGATACAGAGGTGCATGAAGTTGTAATAACCTGGTTTTCCTCCATTCAGAATAGCACTTTCGGCTGGTTCTGCACCATACACCTGATCGTACACAAAAAGAAAAGCATCCAAGCACATAAAAGACAAGGATACATACTCTCTCTCTCTCACACACACACACACTGATATTGTCATACACACCCATAACATGCAAACCTGCAGACGACATATATATGCATACCAACCTTTAGGTTAGGATTTTTCTCCTTGAGGTACTTCCCTGCACCAGTCACTGTACCCCCTGTTCCTATCCCAGCAACCAGGGCATCAATTCTCCCCTCAGAGCCCTTCCATATTTCTGGTCCAGTGGTTTCATAGTGAATCTGTACACTGAGAAATATGAATAGAGCATTCATACAAGCTATCAACAAGTAATATATGTGAAGAATACCCTTGGGTTGGCAGGATTCTCAAATTGCCGAAAAAAATAACCGTTGGGTGTCTTTTCCAGTATCTCTTGGGCTTTCTGAATAAGCCCATCAATGCCTTTGGCAGCATCTGTAATATACAACTCTGCTCCGAAAGCTCGGAGGAGAATCCTTCTTTCAATGCTATATGTATGTGGCATAACTGTAATAAGTTTATAGCCCTTAGCTGCTGCAATGAATGCCAGACCAATGCCAGTATTTCCACTGGTAACCTCAATAAGGACCGTCTTCAGCACCACCAATTAAGCACATTCAAAAAGAATAAACACCTTTCAGTTCAAAACACTTCAAAATCCACACTATTCAGATGAATAATGCCTTCTAACATCAATGTCGGTTTCCCTTGAGACAGAACCTAATTTGATCATTAATGACACTGCACTATGTTCATGAAAATGATGCTAAACCTTGTTCAAATATGTGGAAAAGGCAAATTATCATGCAATAATTTGCGATATGTAACTTGCAACTGTAATGAGATTAAAACATTGTACATAAGAACTGGTACAAGTCTGATAAAAGGAATTTAACTAACCTTTCCAGGCATAATCAGACTCTTCTCTTCTGCGTCTTTAATCATACTATACCCAATCCTACACATCAGTGATTAGAAATGCACATGTTCATTAGCACAGTGAAAGAATTAAAGTGCATCTTTCCACAGTTGCTATATATCACATGTGCAAACCAGCAAACCAGAGGTAAAGTTCTGAAAAAATAAGATGAGCACCTGTCTTTCACACTTGAGCAAGGTTCCATCATCTCTAACTTGGCAGCGATACGGGCTACACAACCATCCACAATGTTGTTGAGGTATACCATCGGGGTATTTCCTATTAGCTGTTCGTTTTGAAAACAAGAAAGATTCAGTGACTTAAGATTAAAGATAACATGGAAGTTGAAGAAAAAAATCTTAAGACCGGAAGTTACTTCAGTAACATCTTTGGCAATTTCACACTTATCTTCCATAATCTTCTTCTCATATTACTGCATGATGATTGGAAGATAAAGAGTATCAGAGAACAAAAATAGCTACGAAGAAGGGGTAAAAACTTCGAGTCCAACCTGACATCCCATGGAAGAGATCCAACATCACAGTCACCATGAGATACGATAATAATAATAAAATAGCACAAGGAAATGACATGACGCTTCATGATTTCATATGTAATAGCAATTGCCTCAGATGAAATGCATATACGGAAACAAGAACAACGTACTTTAATCCTAAAAAGCTTCCAAATAAGCCTCTTACATAAGAGTCTCAAAAAAGGAGGTATCAGAAAAAACTCCATATTGCTTTTTTTTTTTTGATAGGAAACAATAATATCATTAACCATAATAGATAAAATAAAATTACAAAAGAAAGTAAATGGTGGACAAGTAGTCCAAACCAAAGACAAATCAAAATAAAAATACCAAACAAAAGGAAAGAAAAACAAAACAAAACAAAACTACATTCCTCATGAAGCTATCCAACTCGAAGTAATACAAAAAAGAGGAATATTCTCAAACTCCTTTTGACAAAAAGGTCCAAAAAGAGGCCAAAAAATGAAGTCGCTCCCAAAGAATCTCAATGGCCTCAAATTTATCCTAAAAAATTCTTGCGTTCATTCAATCTAAATAACCCAAAAAATAGACAAAAAACACAAGCCCAAAGAGTACTCTGTTGGAAAAAATAGTTTTAAACAAGTTTATTTGAGCAATTTAAGGATTAAATAAAAGTGGGACCCACACCTCGTAATTAGTAGGACCGAGTTTAAACGCGTTCTCCTCCATGAGGAGATTAACATGGTATATCTATGTCTCTAAAACCATTAAGATTTGAACAAAAAATTATATCTCAAAGTGACCTATTTGAAATGATATAATAAACTAAGATTAACGTGGTAAAACAAAGTTTGTCCCACATTCGAAGAAGACCAACACTTTGATGAGTTAATATACTTATAATTAGTTTTTTGGGTTTAGACCCTAAGGGGTACCACACTTTTGTGAGCGGAACAACCGCCTACACTCCCTTGGTTATCACACGCGTGCGCGCCACCCGCCTAGCCACGACCTGACCCAACTAGGCTTAGACCAAAAAACTATAATCTTTTTGAACAAAATTTATTTGAAACGGTGCGGGTCATGTGTCAAACCAATCAGATCCAACCACGGATCGGAATTTAAAACCCAACTGAAATTTAAAATCTAAACCAGATTTTAAAATTTCTTCCCATTATTTTTTGAACTTGGCGCCAAAAGGGCCTAGATTCATTCTAGAGAACTTGTTCATTCCAAGAGGTACCACTTGCTTGTTCAGATTAAAGAGTATGTCAATTTCAATTTTAATTCATCCCAGTTCAGATTAAATAGACTGCTCATTTTTCATTTCAATTCATCACATTCTGGATTTCATTTTCAGAATTCTTCTCTCTCTGTGCATATTGTTGCATTCTTCTTTTGGTTCGGTTCAAATATAAACACAAGTTGTATTCGTTGAAATCTAGAAGATTGAAGTGTTGCTTCTTCAAAAAGGAAAATTCGTTCTATCTTGGAAGACAGTTGTTCATTTATCTTGAACACCGAGAGAGAGCAAATTAATCTTAAGGAGATTGTGTTTCACAAGGCTCGGATTGAAGTTTTGATTTTTTCTTATTTATTATTCTTGTTGGTCTGCGTTCCAGTAAGTGCACTATTTTGATTTTTATACAGTCTGCCTAAATTAGCGCAAGATTTAGGATTTATACAGTTTAATATAATCTAAGTATAAACACATTTTTCTATAACATACTCCTCTTCTTATCGCTTGTAAACATGCAATTTGACACAGATTTTATATCCGACAACAATAATATAAAGTTATAAACTATACACCAAAACAGACTTTATTTTTTTATAAAATTAGATATATAAGACAGTGATAACACAAGAGGAAAAGGGGTGAAATATATGCATAAGAGGAAAGCAGAAGCAACAGTTAAACAGAGGAAATTCCTCTAAAAACAAACCACCTCACAACCAAACAAAAACATATCCCAAAAAAATGAAAATTATTTTGGAAGTTGCCCTCTTTATTTGACAAAAGAACCAACTAACTAAAAGATGCTCTAGGAATTCGAAAAATTTCCACCTCCAACATAGAATATCAGCCAAGGTCCAGCATAAAGAGCAAATCATTATGTACCAAGGGATTGAGATCTCAACCAGTAGATGTGAAGATTAGAATTGCATTCAAGCTGACCAATTTTGCAGTCCATACCAAAGCTTCTTTAAGGACTTCCAGCTGACCAAAGATATCTTTTTAACTCCTACATGGGAACTCCTCCACTAGCAAGGAGCAGGGCGTTGTATCCCAGGGGTTTGTGTAAGCTGTGATACATTCGCTAAAAAAAATCCTTTTGTAGCAAACCATTTATGAAGAAAAATTGGGAAGCTTAAAACAAAAGTAGAAAAAGAAATAATAGTAACTTGGTCCCGGGCATCTACCATTAAAAAGAATATTCAGAATTTTAATCAACAGTCCTTTTCATACTTCCCCTGACAGAGCTCCACTTCCCTCAATATACTGAGGAAACCAGAACCCAGTAGAGAGACAGAGACAGAGACAGAGACAGAGAAGGACAAAATACAGAAACAGTACAAAACTTTCATGATTTTAATTCACGAAGCAATTTGCTGAGGCAGGTCCTCAAACATAAAACTAAATAAGCAAATTATTACAAGTTAAGATTAAAACAAAAACTTAAGAAATTTCTCATAACTGAGAATCAACTGCGACCAAAATTTTATGATAAGCATACACTGGGAAACTGAAAAATATTCCAATTGTGCGCATACATAATGAAAACAGATAGAAATCTGAGAACTGGGTTTAAGATAAGATAGTTTATCAAAGATAAAACAAAGAAAAATATCAAACGGACTAAAAATTAAACAGCATAAATATAAAATCATTAAAAGTATCAAACCAAAGTGCATACTATTGCAAAACACTCATTAATGTAAAGAACAGAAAAACTATCAGTATATATTTTCCTACAAATTGACATGTAATTAAGCTCAACAATCAATAAAAAAAGAAAAGAGCAACATTTAAACACTCAATCTCACACACATATCAAATTTCACAACCCACATCTTAAAATTAATATCAACGTAAGGGAACTGGAAAAAAGCATAAAGGAAAGCTTTACACTCTCACAACTAACCAAAATTATCCACTGCAAATATGATGCAGGAGCCTGTGGCTGTCATGGGCAGTTGATCAAACCAAATGGCAGCCTACTTCTCTTGGCTAGTTAATGTGCTGAAGACTAAATACCCATATTGAAAAACACCTCAGCAAAAGAAACCTTTACAATAAAGTTACTATTAGACACAATCAAATGAAAAATTCCACAAAGCAAAGCACTTACAAATACTATGAATTACAACCTACATTGAAAGATGGAGAATTAGCTCTAATGACAGAAATTTCAAGTACCCAATTTAGCATGGAATCCAATAAAGAAATCTTTACTGAATAAATCATGCAAAAAGATCAAATAATGGAAGGAATAAGTCAAAAACTTCCCCATTCAAGAACCCCAATAATGCAGCACCGCTCGGATTCCTAGTCTCAGTTTGAAAACTGAACTTCACGAGTCAATATCACACTCATATACGGTACATATGTCATATGTATAAGGGTGGGTATGTGCTCAAGACTAAATACCCATATTAGCAAAACACCTCAGCAAAAGAAACCTTACAATAAAGTTACTATTAGACACAATCAAATGAAAAATTTCCACAAAGCAAAGCACATACAAATACTATGAATTACAACCTACATTGAAAGATGGAGAATTAGCTCTAATGACAGAAATTTCAAGTACCCAATTTAGCATGGAACCCAATAAAGAAATCTTTACTGAATAAATCATGCAAAAAGATCAAATAATGGAAAATTAAGTCAAAAACTTCCCCATTCAAGAACCCCAATAATGCAGCACCGCTCGGATTCCTAGTCTCAGTTGGAAAACTGAACTTCACGAGTCAATATCACACTCATATATGGTACATATGTCGTATGTATAAGGGTGGGCATGTGCTCAAGACTAAATACCCATATTGGCAAAACACCTCAGCAACAGAAGCCTTTACACTAAAGTTACTATTATACACAATCAAATGAAAAATTCCACAAAACAAAGCACATACAAATGCTATGAATTACAACCTACATTGAAAGATGGAGAATTAGCTCTAATGACAGAAATTTCAAGTACCCAACTTAGCATGGAACCCAATAAAGAAATCTTTACTGAATCAATCATGCAAAAAGATCAAATAATGGAAGGAATACGTCAAAAACTTCCCAATTCAAGAACCCCAATAAAGAAGTACCGCTCGGATTCCTGGTCTCAGTTTGAAAACTGAACTTCACGAGTCAACATCACACGCATATACGCTACATATGTGGATATGTGAAGATGTTATCTGTATGGCTGAGTTTAACGACGAAGGGGGAGAGAGAGAGATGGTGATGTCAAAATGAGGGGCGAGTTTTTTATTCACTCTATAGAATTAGCAAGTTGGCGGGGAAGTCTTTTTTATTTTTTAGTAAAGTGCACTTTTATTTTTAAAAAATTAATTTATATTTTTAAAAATTAAAATTTTCACATTATATACTTAATGTATCAAAAATATTATATTATTATATGGTCCTTCCGTAATTCCATTAGTTTATGATACTTATTCTAACAACTTCAATGAGATAGATTTTGAGAAAATAAACAACGAAAGGTAATAAAAATATCACATTTTAATATCTTACAAAAATTAATCTCAGA